AATGCAGCCCGCCAAACAATAAGATTAGGGGAAAGTGCTATGCTTAATTTATGGATAATGGGAGAGGTAAAGGATAGAGCTCCCACAAAGGTAAGGCTCACAGCTGGAGGGAGAGGCCTCTGAGGAGGAGGAGGACAGATCCAGATTTGTAAGGTAGCAGACAAACATTTGAGGCCAAGCAGGAGCAAAAGAAAAGGTGTTTAAGGATCATTGTCAAATTAAAATCATACTTCTCACTGCACAACCACTGGTGACTAATGCTTCAAGCATGCCAGAAACTAGTGGTAAATTCAAGAGCTAGATATATTTATTTTCTCTTTTCCTCTACTCTGTGCCTTTTCTTTGTATTTTACATCCCTGAGGCCCCGATCCAACACACCACAGAGACGTGTGTCTAACCTGAAACATTCCCGTTCTTCAGGGCAACCACTCACATGTGGAAGTCAGTGGAAGTGCAGCCCTGTTCTGCTGTAAAAAGGCTTTAGCCAGGAGTCCCTTATAAGCAAAGGAGATAAAGTGTAGCAATAATAACACCAATAAGATGCGACTGAAAACCCCATAAATTACCTGGCAAACTTAAAGGGAGATAGAAGTTCTGGAGCTACTTCCCAGCTGTGTTTCAATGTGTCTATCAGTCTTTACTCATCTCTTTTCATATTACTTTCTCTCCCCCCCTCCCTCCTTTTTTATTGATCTCTGCATCTTTTTTATTATATCCCTCTCTTTCTTCAGCCCTGGTGAGCTAAATCAATGCATAATGCACATCCCACTCCACAAAAGGAATGCAAATGAAAGCCGGGCTCTTTCTCAGCGTCCGCACATCTATCTGGGTGTGCGTGCGCACGGCGTTGGTGTGTGGGAGTGCACGCCAAGGACAAGGTGCTCAGCTGTGCCTCAGACACCCATTTCTCACTGCTCCGCTGGGAACGGATCAAGAGCTAAGCCCCGGGTTCCCACAACTGCGAGTCATAACTCTTACAAATGGGGTCTGCTTTACACAGGTTGAACTTGGCTGAGATCCGCGGTAACCGCGAAAATCGGTTGTCCCGGGAGTAATCAAGAGCAAGGTGAAAGAAAAGCAGCCGAGGGGTAGGAGAGGGGTGCATCAGTCACACGGACACCACTCGGAATCACCTGTCTCCTACAAATCAAAAGGCAAAGTGAAACTTCCCCCGCGGGACCGAATTCTGTGCAGAGGGGATAAAATATGTAAAATCCGCTGTACGAAACAAGGGGAGGGGGGGAAAAGGTAGAGATGATAAATTTGAGGATGGGGAAGGACGAGTGCACTGCAGAACTTATAAAAAAAAAAGGAGCACTGCCAGATGCTTCCATTAATTAATTAATTAATCTCACTGTCGCTCTTCAGCATGTTGCAGGAAGAAAACACTATTAATCTTTTACTGTGTTCTGTTCCTCGGCTTTGTGCTCGGAGAAGGCCAGGACAGCCTGACAGTAAGACCACACAGTTTTCTTCCCTGCCTCCCTCCTTCCTTCCCCCACCCCCTCTCCTCCCTGGCAGAGCAGATTGATCCACTGTTATCTGATTAGAGAGGAAAGGAGGAGGGAAAACAAAACCAAGACAAAAAATAAAAAGAAGTCTAATTCTATTACAGGCACTAGAGCAAAGTGTCTTGAGAGCCTTGTGCCATTTAGTCAAAGGAAAGTTGGACCGATTAAAAAACCCCATAAACCTCATGATCCTAAAAGGCAAAGGGAGCAAGAGAGGCAGAGGGACACCTGCAAACAGGCTGCCTCCATCCTTGGAAATATCCAGAACACAGCTGAACATGACCCTGAGCAACATGCTCCAACTTTGAAGCTGGATCTAACTTTGAAGTTGGCCCTCCTTGGACCAGAGACCTCCAGAGACTCCTTCGAACCTAAATTATGCTGTGATTCATGGCTCTAAATCTACAGCTTGGTGGTGCTTGCGGGCTCTGTTGTAGTTCTCTTCCACCAAGCGAGGTGACTTCCGTGGTCTCTGCTTCGGGAGGAAGGAGCCCACTTGGGCTTTGCACCCCCTGCTATGGAAGCCCCCCTGAAGACGCCCCTTCTGTCCTGCCTTCAGCAAACAAAATGTTTAGCGATTATTTTCAGCCACGTGGGACCCAATCCTGCAGCCAATTTGTGACAGGCATTGCATTCACTGTTGTGGTTAGATTTGCTGAAGACTAAAGAATGCCTTGTGGTAGTTCAGAAACATGCCTGGAAGAAAGCATTTGCAAGATCAAACCCTGAGGCCCCCGATTCAGCAAAGCCTCTGAACATGTGTTTGAGGCTCACTGAATTCTTTGGTGAAGGGGAGTGATTCCCGGGGCTCTAAAGAGCTACATAATACAACAAGAACATCACTGCAAAAATAACACTGTCTGAAATAATTACTTCTTGTCCTACAGGATTATAACATGTATTAGCCTTGCAAACACGGAAATAAATTACACTTATTTTTTTTCTGTGCTCCTCAAACAGGGACCTGAGAATTCTGTATTTTCCAAGAAAACACCCCACCAGTATCAAAGAAGAATTTTGTTTGGCTTAAGGCAGAGGATCAGGTCTGATACTATTAGACTGTGGAGAATGCTGAATTTCTGCTCTTTTTTTATTATTATTTATTATGTAATATGAACAGCCACTCACTTGCACAACATCTTTATGTTTACTGGCGAGATTTTAGTGCTTGATATGTTAAAAGGGAATATAAATCAGCACAGTTCATTTGTCTGAAAGATGAACCAGCAGTGTCTCCTTAGCTCTTGGTGTCATAATTCGTGGTGGTCCAGCAGTCACAAAAGCCAACAGGACCTGTTTCCCAGGTATTACCTTCTGTGAACCTGTCCTAGACACTCGATGCAGGCATTTTTTGCAAAAACCAGCAGCAGTTCTGCCCTGGCAGACCCTGCTCACACACTGAGATCTCCACACCACAGTAGTCCCACCACCACAGCTCACAACAAAACATTTGTGTGCCTGCACCTTCCCTTTGAGTCAGCTCGTTTGATTCATCTGAGTCCCTGGATTTGGTATTTCACAGGCAATTTGATATCATTTTGTAATTCAGGACCCGTGCAAACCCACAACCTTCCAAAGCTCATGACAAACAAACAACTTTTCACCCCTGGAATTCCCCTTTCCTTTCCAACACAAGCAAATCTGAAAAACCACTTCCTCTGTAATGGCATAGAAAAATCCACGTGTGTGTTTTAGTTGCTTCATTTTCCAATCCCTTTGCTGTCAGACAGCTTTTGCTCCACACTCTTAACCAGCCCCACTGCTGGTCCTGGAGATGAACATGTTGGTTGACCATGGATGGATGGTTGGATGATACGGTTGGACTTGATGATCTTAAGGGTTTTTCCAGCATAACCAATTCTATGATTTTATGTACACAGGCATAAAGTAGACTCCTGCACACCCCTGGCAGGACACCACTGTGTGGTCCAAGGCTTGGGACACCCCACTCTTACTCCTGTCCATGGACCTATTTGGAACATTTTGCAGCTCCTGCCCAGCCCACACCACCTGTTTTATTTTTGAGAACCAACAATCGTCGGTCATGCCCAAATAAAACACTGGGATGTGGTCAAAGTGCAGACCTGGAGCAAGGAATTCAGACCTGTTGGTGAGCAGGGTGATACAGATACAACCACCCAGCTCCAGCTCAAACCCTTGCTGGAACCAGCCTCACACTACGCCTGACTTCTGGAGAACCCAAAACATTTACGTAAGTGTTTATCTCACTTTCAAAATATTATGACTAACATCTTTCAAGTGCTTGAGGCTCTAAGGCAGCAAGTTACTTGAAACACAAACGTAACTTCAAGACCACCAATAGTCACAATTAGCCTCGACCATAAATATGCTCAATTTCAATAGAGCTATTTACAAATGTAAATAAGCACATCAACAAATCAGGCCTCAAGTCTCACAGTGTGGGATGCTGAAGTAAAAATGTAGCTGTTCTGATGAGCCAACCAGTCCCCAGCTTACCACCCCAGGGAAACATGGTGCCTGTGAGGTCTGTTATATGTCGCTCCAGGCACAAGAGATAATGGTCAGATTGCCAAAAAGAGCAAATTTCAGACTTGCCAACATCGTATTATCTGCTTAGGACCAATGCCCTGAGCTGAAGGCATGGGATCACTACATGAGGACAGAGGGTTTTCTTGGTCAGTCCAGATAAGGACTCTCATAAAATGTCTTGAGAAAAAGACGACCCTTAATAAACATTAACTTTGGTTCTTGAAGCTCTGTGTGATTCATTCTTTCCCAGACCTCACAGAGTCCTGTTGGCTAGGAAAAGCAACCCCACATGGTGGGGCTACCCCACAGAAGGTGCAGTGTAAATTGGTCTCCATTTCCCTTCTCTGTCCCCAGCATTCTTAGAGAGTTTAATAAATATGTAAAGCTCACAACTGCAGCCCTGCTATCCCCGATAGCTCGAGCATCTTCCGGCCATTGTGCTTACAGGTTTTGCTAATCAGAGCAAACCAGGCTTGCAAATGAAATCTGATTAAGTAGTTTTCACCTCTGAAAAAGGGGATTAGCCAGACCTTTGATCCTCAGATATTGATTTGCAACTCAAAAGAGGTGTGACCTCAGCTGGACTTGCTTCTGGTCTCAGTCCCTTCCCCTTTCACTCCTCCTCCTGTTTACCAGAAAAAAAATCAGTTCATGTCTTCTCACGTAGTCAGATCTAAAGCCTATTGAAGCCAGTGGAAAACCACCCACTGACTTCAATGGGCTTTGGATCAGTCCCACAATGGCTGACTTAGCCTTAAGTCCCAGGCTGTTTCAAAGCCAGCAGAACCAATTTCCCATCAAAATGACCAGAAGCTGGGAAGATATGTTCGCCTTTCAAACCTACAAATTCCACCTTTTTTCTCTCTTCCATGACAACTCTTCAGCTGGAAATGCTGAAAATACTGTCAATTTTTTTCCTTGCACTCTGCATGGAGGTGTTGCCCACCGTGAGTGGAAGGGCTCCGAGCTGGACTTACCGATGCAGTTGAAGGACAACTCCTGCAGGCAGAACAGGGAGCAGCCATCCCCGTTGATCTTATTCATGTCATCACATTCTTCCCCCAGTTCTCTGCAGGCAGGGCACACACATGCAAAAAAGCAGTCAGACAGCAAATAGTATCATTCCAATGATTGCTGCAACCCCGCTGAAGAACCCCAAAGTCCTAAAAACTAGTACAACAGCTTTCTGTGCCAACCCCTAAAATACATCCTCCCTTGTGCTGCAGCCCTGAGTTTCATCATTCCTGGTCCACAGGCTTGCCTGGCCACCTCTCTGCTGCACATGTGGATACCACTTGCTGTTCTCTGATGAGGTTATGAGCAACTTCCTTCATAGCTGGTGTGGCTGCAGCTCAGCAGGTGGGGAAAAAGAGAACAGGAATCTCTGAAACTCTTTGTATTAAATCTGGAAGGGCCAGACTGTGACCCCAGCTGGGAATAACAAGGCTTAAAGTCTGGTGCTGGGCTGTTCCAGGTGACAGCACTTGGAGGAGAGTGGTTGACAGGGAGCAGGTGGTGTCATTGGACCAGCCCCCACAGTTGCAGCAGCGTGTGGGGAAAAGAGTGGGAACCAGATGAGAGAGGGGCTGCCACAGCTGCAAGTGGGGCCACAACCAACCAAGCTGTGACACAGTCTGGTTCCTGCTCGCTCCTGAGGCAGCTCAGCTATTGTTTGACACTTGCTGCAAAGCCACAAGTGATGTTTGAGGAATGTGCAAACATAACAGTAGCAGAAAAGTTATGTAAAGCAGAATTAATCTGTCTTTCTCCACCTCTCTTTCCAAGTCTGCCCTGGATTCATATGTTTTTTGGTTGTTCTCTTTGATTTCCTTGCCTGTTGGGCCTCATCCTGCAAATATTTGCTGCCAGGTGTATCGTCTGACAGGGTTGTGCTGTGTGATTGCTGATCAGCATTATTCCAAGCAGAGAACACTGGCTGGATTAAGCACTTGCTTGTTGTTACTTCCACAGTTTAAATAATTAAATTACCTAATGCCAGGAAGCTTTGAAGCAGTGGCCTTAAGGGCCAACATAGTAAAAGAATAAACCCTAACACAGTTGTGAAGGATTGTTTTACGTTTTCAGTGGCCTGGGGACTGGCAGCCAGTGACAGAGGGGAGCTGATTGAGAACATGCAATTCTCAGAGGCCAAATCTATCACCTCCAAATGCATCCCAACTCTGGTGGACGGTCAAACAAGAGGTTGCACCAGGAACCTGGCCCAACACATGGCAGGGTTTTATCCTGTCCCCCAGCTGTGAGACACAGGGGACACCAAGTGTAAGGGCAGCATCTAAGGCCATGTGGATTTTTCCAGCACTTACTTCAGCCCTGTATAGGAAATGTCATTTACATGTATAAAGATACAGATGCATGGACAAACAGCATAAACAGCACACACAGTGGACTCTCCTATCGATCCTGCTGTCTGGGCTCCATTATCTGTATCTCTGTCTGTATCTCCTGGTGCCAGGATAGCAGGGCCTATGTTACAATTAAATGTCCTCATCCTGGTAATCATCAGCACATGAGTCATTATCCACAGAGGAGAGCTGGCCTGAACTAAGGAGACATCAGAGGTCACCGGTTCCTTTCTAGTCTCTGATTCTGGCTTGAGTAGATGTGCCCAGATTTATCTGTTTGCTCGCTCCAGACTTACATTTGGATAATCCCATCTCCACAGTATCCACTTCCAGAGATATAGACGAGAGCAGGGGAAGGTTCACTCTCCTCCATCCCGGAAACAATGACGACCTGGTACGTGTACGTGGTCCTGTCACTCAGCTCCCTGCGAGGCAAGAGGAGATACTGAGTGATTGGTACAACAAAGGCAGCAGCAAAGGGCAGAGAAGGAGGTACTGAAGTGGGGGTTGGATGCTAAAAAAGTCAAAGTTTGGTTCATTCAGGTCTTCCGAATGTTCCTGCCTCTTTTTGATGGGATGGATTTTTGGTTGGGTGTCTTTTCCTTGTGAGCACAGTCAGCTCTGTCCACACTTGATTTATGCACAGCCCTGAAATAGGTGCAAACTTTTGAACATTTGGCAGCTAAACCATTTCCTGATGAAAATCATGCAGTTTGCTGTGCTGCTGCTCACACCCACTGCAGGGATGGCATTGCACTGGCACCATGGCACTGTCAATGCTCACCATGTGCAGTGGGAAACACTAAGAGCATTACTGACAGTCCATGTACTTCAACACCTGAGGAACCAGCCCTGTGCCTCACTGTGTCCAGCCTTGGACACTTCTGCTCCTGTGTGTCACACCAGGGACAGCATTACCAGCAAGTTTGTGGCACAGTTCATTTAGGGAACTTAGAATACCCTGTAAACACTCATTATTTCCTGAGCAGCCCTGAGCTCAATCCAACTGCAGCTGGAGCCAGTGGGAACTTGACTATTAGCTTAAGACAGAATGGGACTGAGGATGTTTCAGTGATAGATAAATAAATAATCTGCTTTGCATATGGGTATTTAAAAAAGTAGAGTGAGCAAAAAAAATAGGATCCACACAACAGCACTGGATCATGGTATTAACATCGAAATACTCACAGAAAGAATGAGCAAATTGCTGCATATTTATGCAAAGCCATAATAACCCAAATCCTGTGCATCTGTAAACGAAGAGTAATTTTTATATGCAATACAGGAATAATATAAGCCTAATAAAAATGTTTAGCTCTTTTACAATGTCTCTTGCATTATCAAAACTCAAAACCTTCCACAAAGGAACTCATTACCCTTATCCTCATTGTATCCAATCTGTAAAGCCAGGGAGTAGTGAAGGCAAAATGATTTGCTCAAAGTCATCAATCAGGCTAATTGCAGGGCCCATAAGGCAGCCTAGCTCTTCCCTAACCCCTGCCAGTCCTCTGCTTACTACACTCACATTGCCCCAATTACTGACAGTAATATAAGTGGTTTTTGTCACAGGAACTTGGTCAAAAAGCACATATTAATGGGGTGTGTACTGGGAGGAGATACATCTACCACACAGAGCAGCAAAGCCACTGATGTGGGTATCAATGAAATCTTCAATCTTCAAGGTGAAATAAGTATCTTGTTACAGCATTCATTAAATTAACAAGCAAGACTTAAACTCCAATATCCCACATTATATTTTACAACAAAGCTGTTTCTCATGGATACTGTGCCTGCAAAATAACTGGCACTGAAGGAATTGCACTGGGATCTGATTCTTTGTTCACACACGGCAGTGAAATGGGAGTGGAACTCAGTGGGACAAAAGCACAACTGGCTTTCTCATTCCTTCAGCACCTTATTCCTGTCAGCAACAGTCTGTGGCTTCTAATAGCTAAATTTGTGAGTTCATGGAGCACAAACAATATATTAATTCACCTACAGACTGGGGGGATGTCTACCCATATATTGGTAAGAGTGTTTATTCAATCAGAGGGAAAATTTTTAAACTTCTGCCCTTGGGGCTTGTTTAAAGTTTTGTTAAAAAAAAAAAAAAAAGAATTATGGAAAGTAACTTAAGTGTCCAAACACACACTGCTGTATAATACTGAGGGTTTCCTCTAGATTTCATTCCTGGACAAATCCACTTATCAAAGCGAGAAGCTTCTGATATATACTGATGAAATCAAAGCAGAGTCAAGCTCTGATTAGTACAGGGCAGTTATTTCTCAAGTTCTGTCTCAAAACCATTCGTAAAATATTTAAGATTAACAAGTACACTTGCAGAAATGTGGATTTTGTCACTGGGGATCTGCTAACCACAAAAAAGGTTCAATTCTTCGAAAAAGACTGTTAACAAATGAACAGTTGGGGCAGCTGTAACAGCTAGAAAATAAATAAAGCCACGCTGCTTTTTGGTGGGCTGAGTGCAAAATAGGAGTGTTCAGATTCTGATTTTTTAATATGATTTCTGCTGATACCCACTGGTAGTTGGGTAAGTGAAGCAAGTGTGTCCCTGCGTGTGTGTTTTAGTGTCTGTGTGTGTTTTTGTGTCCATGTAAGCAAAAGCACAACAGGAAAAGTTCACATTTGTTTATGGATAGGGTGGGAAGTTGGGAGAACACAGTGGAAGAAGATGCAGAACTGAATCAAGCACAGGAGAGAATATGGTGGTTATGAACTATGAGGGGATTGGAGATGAATATGTGTGTGTGTGGATAAGACAGAAAACTGGAAAAGAGAGTTACTAGTTGGGGAGAACTCTGGCATATTTAATTGTATGGATTGAGAATGGAAAAATTTGCATGGGGAGAGGGCCCTGTGGACATGGAGCAGATTGGCTGCTTTGTAGTCTAACCCTGTCACCTGCTACACACCAGGGAGGGGAGATGTCCAGCAGCAACCTGCTGCTCAAAGATGGAAAGCTCTTGGGGAAATGATATGTCATGACAGGCAGATGATCCTTATACTTTACTGACACAAAAAGGGCCATTTCTTCTCCAAAAAAGAAGGTGCCCAAAGTATCTGACCCCTTACACATACATTTAGGTATTTGCACAGCCTGGCTCTCCTTACCTCTCTGCAGTTTGGGTAGAAAATGAGAGCTATGAAGTTATTTATGCTCATGATACCCCATGAGCTATGAAGGTAATATCCTTGTCTTAGGTTAAAATGCAGAGAAAGGGAAGACAAATGCCTGGAGGCATATGGTCCTCCAACAGCAGACCTGGGAGACAGATCTCCAGAGGGGACAATCCTTGGGATGAAAAACATCCCAAATCCTCTCTCAGGCAACCCAGGCAGAAACAACCTGCCTTCCCCACAGTCTTCCCCACACTGGGGGACAGCAGAGGATCCCCAGGCTTTCACATCCAGGGCAGCACCAACAAACCAGCCATGCCCAGAGGAGCTCAGAAATGAGACACGTGTGCTCCAAAAGTGCCCTCCAGCATCACACAGGCAGAGCTGGAGATGTGCCTGAACTGGAGCACCAAAGAGCCACCTTAGAAACTCAAAAGTCAAGCCTCAGCTTTTAGCTCAGCCTGGCCTGATGTGGCAAAAAAGCTGACTGAGCTGGATGTGGCATTTCACATCTCAACAACTGGAACCTGAGATGCTCATATCCTCCTGAACTGTTAAATATATCATATTGGCAGCAACCAGGAGTTTTAACATTCTTTCAAAGTACCCCTATTTCGGAAAAATATAGCTGCTAAAGGCATGATATGTGAAATACTTCGGGCAGTAATCCAGTCCCATAGTGAAGGAGGAAGGAGCACAAGGAAAAAGAAAACAAACACAAAAAAAGAGTTTATTCTCTCCTATATAGCTATATCATACCAAGGTCGATATTACAGACTCTATCTGGAGATGTCAGCAAGACAAGCTCCTCTCCAAGTGGTGATAAAAGTGTGAATTCTGAGCATTTATTTTCTCTCTTGCCTTCCCCGGGAGCTGATGGCACAACGACAGCGACAAGGGGCACTTTGCTGTCAGGCAGGACCAGCACACGGCGGCTTCGCACGGTGCTACTTAAGGAGGTGAGAGAGAAGAACATCTTTAACATCAAGGATGTGAACAAACACTCTTTTAAATTTATATCTATGGTCTTTTAATGACCTTTTCGAGAAGTGAGTAAGCCGCATTGATCGCTGCAGCTTCCGCCTGTGGGGAGGACTCTTATTAAAAAGCAATGACTCAAGCCCTGCTTAGAGGGGGAATTAGGACATGCTGTGTGAAGCACCACGAGGGCAACTTGCCTGCCTGCTGTGGCTAGTGATGGATCCAGAGTCAGAAACACAGAACCCTTTCATTCTCTTCATGTTTTTACTGGGGAGGCTGGGCAGTTGGGTTAATCTCGCTCTGTCCCCCAGGGGAGGGACCTCTGCTCTCAGTTTGGGTGTTCCTGGAAAACTTCAGGGAAAATTATACCTGTGGGAAGTTGTTTTTTTTTTTTTTTTTTTTTTACTCAGACCAAGGTGGGTTTAAAGGATCACTGAATTTATAGAAGAAACACACATGCCCTTGAGTTCCAGCAGAGCTGACACTGCCCTAACCACATCTGCTCTGTGCACACCGTGGGGCTTCAGCATCTGAGGGCACAGCACACACTCAAGAGGTAGTGAAAGCATCAAGGGGAAGCAAACATCCCATGCCTCTCTTCCTACTACAACGGCATATATGTGTTTCCTACTACAAATAACAGCAGGAGTGTTTTCACAAAGCAAAGACTTGTTTCCAGCAAAATTTCAAATATCCTTAAGGCTGAGCCCAGCTCCTGCCCTATGAAAAGATAAATGGCCAGGCAGCAATGAAAGCAGACAGCGTTCCTGTTATCTAAGGACAAGATGACGAAGTTTTAAGCATCCCCAATTAAATTATGGCTGTCACAGGCAGTGTCATGTGGAACACGCAAATTCTACACCTCAAGTGTCCTCGTGAAGGACTTCTCTGGCTTTGACCTTAAATACCCACCAAACTCTAGAGTCAAAAGACAACATTTCCTGGACATCTCTTTGCAGCCCAGAACAAGCCCTGGTCTGCCAGTGATGTCCCTGTTTCCCTAACACTGTCACCTTTGCTCTTCTCTAGCAAGGAAGCCTTGCTGAGCAAAACAGGAAATCTTCTGGCAGCAATCAGCAGCAACTCCACATCTTCTCTTGTTGCAACTCTTTGGATCAGCTGCCAGGGTGGACTGAACACAACCACAAACAGAGAACCCAGAGGTCTAAACCATCCCTTGTCCTGTCATCTGCAGGCTAGAGCTGTCCAGTCTGTCCCCACATGCTGCTCACAACCTCCAAAACACCCAGTGCCACTTCCAGAGGTCCTGAATTACACCAAATATCCACCAACACCGCAGTCTTTA